AAGAAAATAAAAATAGGAGGGAAAGAAGGAAAAAAAAATGTAAGGATGAACAACAAGAAGAATAAAATGATGCACACTAAAAGTTTGAGGCACTGCACAGACGCTAAGCGAAAGCGCAAAAACAGTGTAGAGATCACAACAAATTTGGATGGTTACTATTCATCCAGAATCCAACATGTCTGGATGAATCATTTACCGGACATGTTGGAATCCGGATGAATTTCCTCGATCAACTCCGGTAGCTTCCTAAAAAATCTCTCAAGTCCGGGAAAAAAATTCTAGATGAGTTTGTCACTTATAATAAAAAGCAATGCAAGTCCGCGTGGCATAGTGTATAATAGTAATACTAGTAGTTTCATTATTAAACTACATTTGGAGTGACTAATATACAACTGATTAACAATCGGACTTGCATTGCTTTTTATAACAAGTGAAAAACTCATATAGAATGTTTTTAACCGTAGTTGTTTTAAGATCGGCGGAAATTCATCTGGAAATTTTACGGAGTTTTAAATCCGGATGGAGTTGCACGGGCGACTAGGATTTCCGGATAAAAAGTCTTGAAAAGAAAGAAAAGCGATATCTTTTTTTTTGCAAGAAATGACTTTCTTAAAAGGTGCAAAAAAACGTCTTTTTCTTGCAAAAGGAAAAGATGTCGCTTTTCTTTCTTTGGAAAAGAAAAGGTGCCACTTTCCTTTTTCTTAGGAAAGAAAAGATGTGCATTACATCTTTACTCTTTTCTATTGTAAACAAAAAGAAAAACTTTTCTTTTGTCAATAAAAAAAGGAGGTGGGAAAATGAAAGTACCACCCCTATATAGAAGCCACCAATATGGATGAGTCAACTTTAGAGTAAAGGTAGTTTTGATCTCCTGATCATTTCTCGCACCTTAGAATGCAAGAAATTGGGCTCAAACAAAAAAAGGTTTCTTGGAGATCTCTTGAAAAGCTAACCAACAAATTTTTTACGAAAACACAATTTTAACATTCTAGGATTTAAATCACGTACAAGTGAGTGAGTCGAAACTGAGATTTCGAGAGTCTTAGGAGTTAGCTATAGCTGGTAAGACCTTATAGGGTAGATCTTCACGAATTCCATACTTTCATGGTCAATATATAGGATTCTACGACCTGGGCAATGGGAGCTATCCGTACAAGTAACAAGCTATAACGTATATAGTACAACATCAGATTAGCTGACTAATCAGCTTACTTTTGAAAAATTTTACGTGTAAGGTGCGGTATCGCAGCCTGAGTTGATCACGGCTTTCTACACGGTAACTAAAGAACATGACTTCTTGAACATTTTCTTCGAACATTGATTGAGTTACTAAATTCCCTTATCGAATAAATAAAGTCTAGAAATTTAGCTTCGTTTTAGTAAAGTCTCAAACTGAAAGATGTTATTTGCCGTGACACGACATTACCGCGAACGACATTACCGCGAACGACGTTACCGCGAACGACATTACCGCGAACGACATTACCGCGAACGACATTACCGCGAACGACATTACCGCGAATGCAAAGAATGACATTACCGCGAACGACTTTATCGCGAATGCAAAAAACGACATTACCGCGAATGCAAAAAACGACATTACAGTGAACGACGTTACCGCGAAGACTCGTTTATTGGAAAAGAAGAATAAATGAGCCTGGTTTTGTACTTTGTATATCATGTGGAGGGAGGTGGGAA